CAAGCTGCCGTTGGGCGCCGGCTATGATCCAGTCATCGGAACATTCATATAGATAACCCCATTTGGGGGGGAGGGGGGGAGGGGGGTGCCGTGGGAACGGGCGGTAGATCGGAGGATCTGCCGCCTCTTGTCGGGGATACGGATCGCGTCATGCGAACAAACCTGAGCCACGAGAAGGTCCGGCTGAGTTTGCGTACGCTTGGCAGTCAGCAGAAAGTCGGGCGTTGGTAAAAAAAATCTACAAACAGTCAATTTTGACGGAGTCGCGACTATCTCCTGACCAATCCCTTACGATGTCGTGACTTTGACTCGACTTTGCCTTTTTACTGAGGATGAGAGTACAGTTACGTTTGATCAACTCTGCCACTGCCACTTCCACTTAGTGAACAGTAGTCTAAGACACCAAGGGGAAGGCCTCTCCAGTTGGCAATGCAGCCATGGCGATTGGGTGGGTTGGATGGTGGAGACGTCACTGACGCTTTGAGCTTAGCCGCTCACGTTCGGCAAGTTCCTTCCGATACTGGCGCGTCACGATGTCTGGAACAGCGCGCCTCGCACTTCAAGTTCTTGTCACTACAATGTCGAATGAAGGGGACAGCAATGAACTCAAGGTAAGTAATATCAATGGTTTCGGGCGTGATTCTGATAATAATATCTACAGGACGACTTACTGGAAACCTTTGAGCACGATTTCAGCTTCAAAGGCAACTGCTACTTTGCATCGACGCCGTCAGACGCGCCAAATCCATGTCTCTCAATCGAGGGGATTGGTACTGTCGGAATTCCATTGAGCTCAAGAGATGCGAAAGCCATCGTCGCATGCGCTCAGCAAGTCCCACGTAACAACAGTGCCGTGGGCGACGCTTGGGTAGTAGGACGATCGAAAATTACCTTTGAAAATCGTAAATGGCAGAAATGGCTGGAAGACTTTGCCTTCAGCTCCGTCTGGAAGGCCCTTGGCTTGGACCCCTTTCAGACACGCCCTAAATGTCAGCTCTCCAACCTGCTACTATGCGAGCAAGGTTCGCAGTGAGTGGCATCCATCACTTTTGGTGGACGTTAGCTAAGTAAGATTTAGGACAATACTTCGCCAGGAGTATGTTAAGCGCGACTTTTCTTTTGACGGCCATTTGATGACGACGTTTGTAGCGCAGAGAGCGTTGCAGGGATGTTCGCAACGGTCATTGTCGTCCTTCCAACGCGACACGAAGGGGGCCAAATCTGTCTATCCCACTCAGGAGTATCGGAAACAATCGGCCCTGATAAAGAGGGAGTGTTATCAACATCCATAATGGCATGGTATGCGGATGTTACGCACGAGGTGAAACCCATCACTTCGGGCTATCGACTCGCTCTCTCTTACAACCTGATACACACTACGCCAAACGTCCCCCTACCGATGCTGCCCGACATGAGCAAGGGACCCCCGCGCCTACGCGATGTTCTGACCAAATGGCAACAAGGCAACTACTCATCAGACTGCTTCTCTGCAGAATCACCTTTTTTCGCTCATGTATTCAGCGATGAATATCCTGAAAATGACCTTCTGGGCGGCATCAGCAAGATGAAGCGCCCTGATGCCTACATGGTTGCCCATCTCCTTCCCCTTGCAGAGGAGCTTGGCTTCAATGTACGGGTGGCAAGCTTGCGCTACACTGTCGCAGGCGAGGCACGCGATCTCGATGGGAACTGCAACCGAAAGCGCCGCCGGTACAGATCGTTTAGCTCAGACGACGAATTCAGCGAGCCTGAGGCCGACGAGCTTGAAGTGGGGGAGGTTGATGAAACCATCTGCTCTTTGACCATGGTAGTCGATGTCGAAGGTCACCCAATTATCAAGGGGTTCAACGTGTGCGATGTCGAGGTCGACGTGCTCATACCAGAGAATATCACTGATTGCTTTCAGTCTGAAGAGCGAGAATATTCTGGGTCCAATGGCGAGGTAAGCCTTCAGCTTATGCTTGTGCGGAATATTGTGTGACGATGTTCCACGCTGCAGGAGAAGATTGGCTTCATGTCCGAACGTGAGTCGAGAGCTTAGCTACAACTATTCAAGTGGCTGCTTTGGTTGACGAAGGAACTCACAGACTATCGACTGACGGCCTTGCTCATGTTCCGAAAAAAGATGCAGAAGATGTCACCCTGATGCTCACCGGTGGCATTTCCGGTGCCGTCACTAGGCTCACTTCTATCATAGGGCCTATCGCCGAGCAGAGTCACAGAGCTGCAGCAGAGGAGCTCCTTCGAGCGCTGAGTACTACGGGTAAAGACCCCAGCCTGTTCTACATGTCCAGCAGTGTATCGGAGAAGGCACTGTCTGCACTACTCGATATTGCTCTGGCCTGGAAAGACGCTGGGCTGTGGCAGAGAGCAATGCTAACACCTTGTTGCACCTTGTCAACAGTGGGGAAAAGGAGGCTGGCACAGATACTTGTTTCCTTCCCTTTCGAGTCGATTAAGGATGGGTACGTCGTCCTCTAGAATGCCTTCGCTTCCTGCACTCTGACAGAAATTTCCCTTCCATTAGCCTGGCATCCTTGATCCAGAACAGCGAGCTTTTCGAAGATAGAGTTGAAGCGATCAAAGCCATCTTGACCCAACAGGAGCCGAACCAAGCTGTTGTACCATGGGTTGCAGAGCAATGGAGGGAAAGTGTTCGGACGTACCGCCAAGGAGCAGAGGGCGACACCCCTTCCATACTCGAAGGCCTCAAAGTTTCTGGCCTGACGGGTCTTACGGAAGGGTGAGTAAACTACTTGCGATTATGCTGTTCCAGTTGGCTGACGGCCTCGAAGTTTGTTACCTAATGTACAGAACATGGGCAATAAGTTTCCCTTCTGGGTATGCCTCGCTGAGGCTTTATACAGGGAGAGGGATGCGTTTCCTGCCTCGCACCCCTCAGTCGACGAGTGCATTGAGAAGTGCCTAGCAAATGCGGCATTGCAATGGGACTACATGCCACCTCCACCTCCAACCCATGAATGGAGCTACTCAATACGCAGGACAAATACCTACTCCGAGGAAGCAGACCCAAAGGTCAAGGCCACTCGAGTTGCCCAGGTCATCGGTATCTGTCTTAAGGCGAACGCGATGGAAGCATGCAACGCGATCCTCGCAGAGGTCATGAAAGATACACCACCAGGGGATCTACCGGAGAAGTTCAGGGACCTATTCGTACCCCTCATAATGGAGCTACAACCTCTGTTGGCGAGGCACGGCTCTAAGCTCTCTTCTCCCCCTTTCAGCGAGGTTATCAAACAGATCGTTCAGCTTCATGTCGACACCTTCAGCCCAAGGAACCAGCCGACGTTCAATGGCCCTCCTTTAATCCCTAGGTTCCAGTGCAACGCCATCTCATGCCATGAGTGCAGCACGCTGTATAGGTTTATGACTTCCAACACCACGAAGGAATGCGTATTTCGCACGGCGAAGGATCGAAGGCACGTCGAGGGGCAGCTTCAAGACCTCCGGAATACGCTGTGTACCTACGACACGACGGGCTCCAGGTCCAATCAGACGATGGTTGTCAAGAAACTACCCACAACCATTGCGCTCGCTCGCAGATATGAAGCGGTTGGAAACCGCAAAGCATTCCTCGATCTCATAGGGAGAGAGGGAGCGACAATAAAGTGACTTTTTCTCCTTGCGTGCCTTGCGTTTTGTCTGCCAAAAAATCATTCCCACGCTTGGGTTGCGTGCCAAGCTAGCGTGGGTTTGCATGGGCTTGCATGGAGTGCTTGCGAATACGGTTAAGTATCGGGAGACGGTATTTGGATATAGAAAGGCCTTCTGGCCAACGAGGACTCAACTTGTAATCTTAAATACACCGCCAGGAGTGCGGAATGCATTTACTTGAACCAACCTTTGGCCTGCCTCTGTTCCTTCATGTCTCGGCACCCAATCGGCATCTGTTACAGTCTCGTTTTTGAGGCCACAAGAAGTTGTCATTTGGGCTATTTTCTTGCATAATCTTTACTCCCATTTCTGACGTCTCAGTAGAGAAAGATATCTGTGTGCAAAACACTCAATTACTCGGTGATCATCACTGTGCAATGAGAGGTTGTGTTTACCTATCGTTTCTCGCAGCACGTCGGCGTATTTTGGGTGTAATTAGAGCCCTACAGGGGAGTTTAACTATCCAACCCGAGCAACACATTTTACTATAGCAATTTACGCATCCTAGTCTATCTTGACCTGGTTCGTCGCGTTCATTCCACTCCCAGGGATTTCGGCTAGCTTTCGGCAGCTTTCGGCTGCGTTCGGCTGTATGCAAGCAGCGACAAACTTGCGTGGCTTGCATGGGTCACTTGTGGGCTTGCGTGGTAGGCGCCCAAGGGAAGAAATGTATCCACTTGTAAGAACACTCGTGTTCTGAAGAGCGCAAAAATGATAGACCCATACTCTGGAGCATGCGTGTGCTGGCTTAGCGGCGTCAAAAACATCTTGTTCTTCGAGGTGTCAGCAATCGAGGGAAGAGGAGCAGATCGCCGGACAATGGGTTGGGGAGCAGTACCTTTTGATACAAGGTGAACACTTTCCCGAGAGTATCCTTGGTGGGTGCTAACTTTCGCAAAACCACCGAGCGCGATCGAATGGTAGCAATTGAAAGATTTCTTGAGACTAATTTCAGCTACGTTTTATCTCCAAAATGTATACACATGTATCTATATTACCGCAGGTCCTCACCACTTGAACCGTCCCAGCTATTCATAACCCGGCCCGCCCACACGGCATAAGTGAGCTTTTCCATAAAGCTGCTTTGTCACCCAAGCTAACTTGAGCAACGCAACGCAATAAAAGTCACTTTTGTAAGGGGAAAGCGACCCAAGCGAAGTGACAAAAGTCACTTTGGCAGTCGCCGGAGAGAGGAGTTGATGCTGATGCTTGGAGAGGCGTATTACCGTAGTGTTACAATGTAATGGACATCAGTTGCGATTCTTAGTTTCTAGTAAGCTGATATATGTGTGCCCTTGCTGAATGCAACGAGGTGTACAAAAAAGAACCGACGGTGGGACTCGAACCCACAGCCTCTGCCTCATTCCGACTTTGAAGTCGAGATAGGAAAGCAACGCACTACCATTGTGCTACGACGGCGGTTGGCACGTTTTCGAGTCGAGTAATCATGGCCCGACAGTAATGGTCTGCCTAAGAAATTCACTCAAAGCGGTCCTTCCAACCAGAGTTAAGGAACTGACTTTCTTATAGGAGATACATCAATTGGTGTTTAGGCTACCCCTAGCTGCATCTACTCGGTCCAACCCCATCTGTAGTGAAACGAGGGGCATGATATCATGTAGATGGTCTGCGAAACCCTTGGTTAGCATGGAAAAGGCCTCCGACGTCAACCTTGGGCTTACCATCTGAGCCACTTGATTCTACAGACCACTTTTCCAGTTGTTGGCGAACAGGAGTGAGCAAGTTATTCTCCACGTTACGGAGTACATCTTGATCTCTGATTCCAGTCTAGAGTGCTTGTCAGATGGATGTTATTGTCGATGAGACAAAGGAACTCACTAGATTGGATTTATCCCTGAGAAGAAGGATGTAATACAGCGAGAGGCATTCGACGAGCCGTTTGGATTCATGAGACTCTTCAAAGTCCTTGATCGAGGGAGACGATTGGAAGACATCAGGAGGGTTGGGACGAAGGAGGATCGGACCAAACGTCCTTAGAAAGGCGGCGGATGCAAAGATATTGTCACTTGAAGATGTCAATGCCTCGAGGACAGCGTCTTTGACAAGCCCGACAGCTGCGACCCGCATCTGTGGGAACTCGTCGTCTGTCGTCAGGTCCTGCAGAACTTGCATGCGGAGTGGAGGAGGTGAGCGGGACAGGAGAAGGCCTAGGATTCGGAATGCTTGGTGACGGGCTTGGGGATCAGGATGACCGCTGGCAAGCATCGGGAAGACGGACAGAAGGGGCGCGATCACATCCATAGGAAGCTCCTCCTTTTGTGAGTGGAGCACCTTTAGAAGGAGGGAAAGAGTTTGGTCGATGATGTTGTTGGTCTGAATACATGCGATTAAGATTGGCATAAGGGAAGACAGGAGCGCCGGTTCTGAGAGATCTGATGGTTCGAGATGGGCAAGGAAGGCGAGAGATGTGGGAGAGGGCTCCTTCAGCAGGTCTTGTTGCCGCAGTCCAAGCAGTTTAGAAGCGCTCTGCAGATATATGAGATGGGAACAGGGTACACGGGTGGTTGATGCATACCCATGCAGCAGATATTGCTTCTTCAGCATCCTGAAAGTCGTCCTGTTTTTGCGACCGGATGGTCAGACGAGGATAGAGAGACTCAAATGTCCTCTGGGCTAGGCCAGCGTCCAGGCGGGGGACGGTCACCAATAGGGTGCTAAACAACAGATTGCGTAGGACATCCTGCAGCAAGTTAGGCGACGTTCGCATATATTCGAGGGAGAGATGCCTACCTTGGCTTCACCCTTCGATGAGTCCTTGCCTTCGACCCACTTGTAGACGCTTTCAATAAAAAGGGATACGGACGATAGAAGCACTCTGGACTGTGCCTTTGAGAGATGCTGCCCACTATGCTCAATAGCCCCTTGGACCTCAGTAACATGAGGTAGGGCGGTCTCGAAGGCTGTCTTCTTCCTCAAGCTGATCTTTGGCATGGCTGTAGGCTAATTAGACTGGCAACACAAGACAAATCAAAACGTACCTGTGGCGTAGAGGTTGACAATTTCAATCAAGGTGTCGATGGCAGATGGAATGTCATCGTCGTCGTCTCCTTCCAATTGAGCTTGCAGCCTTTCCAACGCCTCTTGTGCTGCGATAACAGCCTCCTTCGCAGAAGAGCACTCGGTAATCAGACTGACAATGTCTCGTGCAGCTGGATCTCTTCTCTGCAGTAGCACCGGCAGTACGTCGAGAGCATCCTTCTCATCACTTTAGTCACATTTTCCCTTTGCAGAGTACATGTTGCTCACCAAATATTTGACCCCATTATTCTGCGCCAACTGGCGATAAACCTCAGCGAGTGAAATCTCCGGGGCTTCGTCGTGGACGGCAGATGTGATAATGGCCGTCAATGACGAGGCTAACCTCTACCTCTTAGGTTCAATATGATCGCAATCTCTGGCGGTTGGGCGCACCTCTCTGTCCTCATCGGTGGGCTCTCCAGAAGGGAATGAAGGGAACGACATGGTGGTCTGGAACAAAGAACGCGTCGCGAGCACCGCGATGAGCGCTAATGATGTCGAAGCGGAGATCACGGTCCGCAGCCATGGCCCACAATGAGCTCATGCCCCTGACACGGCCTCGACGTCGACCACGATGAGCAGCGCTACCTCTTCGCCGTCTCGCTCAGCGATGGCGCTTGTGCCTTCGTCCGAGAGCGAATGGCAACCAATTCTACATTCCTCTAACCAAGTTGTATTGTACAACCCCCAATCGCATGCCCTGACGATTGGCCAGCGTTCTAGTCTGCCGCCAGAGTCCTCGGTCATAGCAACGAGGAGGACGCAACCGACGTGTCCTTACTGCAAGCAGCACCTTCCGACGTTGACCACCGGTCCTGAAAGTCCTCTGGAAGACGTCGAAGACGATATATTCGAAGACTTTGAGGACTTTCACGACGACGACCCTGCATATGACTCGCGAGCAGCGAATTACTTCCAGTTGTTGGCCATCTCGAACGAGACGAACTCTCGACCATCGAGCCCCCCAGGTGTGCTAGGTGGTGAAGGCTCAGGGTCTCCTTCCTCCTCCACGTTCCTCGCAGAGCAAATGGCGGAAGGGTACTTCCAACGGTTCTTCCAAGAGGAATACAAGCTGGGAATGGGTGCAAATGGTTCGGTATATCTGTGCCAGGTACGCTCAAAGTAAACTGCACTCAAGTGTTCTGACCCCTGACTAGTGCCCAGCATATGCTAGATGGCAACCCCTTGGGACACTTTGCAGTGAAGAAGATTGCAGTCGGCGAGTCGCACTCGTACCTACTCAAGATCCTTCGTGAGGTTTGTCCAATACCTCGGGTGAATTCTGTATTTAATCTCTTTCCTTAGGTCCGGTTGCTTGAGCAATTGCATCACCCTAACATCGTGATCTACCAGTACGTGACAGATCCCCTGTTCTATTGACCGTTCGTTGACCAGGGTTGCAGTCATGCCTGGCTTGAAACAAGCCAGTTCTCTTCATTTGGACCTCGAATACCAACCCTGCACGTCCTAATGCAATGGGCAGAAGGGGGTAGCCTTGACGACTACATCGACATTCGTCAGGGAAAGAAACCTTCCCATCCCCATATCCATCCACTTCCCCATCACAATGCGACAAGCAGGTTTGAACCTGGGGAATCTGTCACGGACCTTGGCATGGAAAACTCGCCCGCAGTTAACCCTTCAATATCAGGGGAGCCTGAAGCAACCCACGGCCGTTCAGCACGCATCAAGGCGTTCAGAGCGTTTCAGCGGGCAAACCCAGAAGAGCGTGAACGGATGCTCCGTGACGGATATGGCGGACCAGATCGCCCTCCTCCCGGCAAGCGGAATACGGAATGGAAATCCATTCATCTGCTTAGCGCAGAGGAGATCAAGAGTCTGTTCCAAGATATCGTCGAAGGGCTAGGTTTCTTGGTACGTGGGGCAGTCAATTATGGTAGTTCATGAACTGACGGTGGCCTAGCATTCGAAATCCATCTTGCACTTGGATTTGAAGCCGGGGAATGTTCTACTCACCTGGGATGACGGACGCATGATGTACGCTCGCCGCTTTCCGTCAAGAACCCTGCGACTGACGTAGAATGCAGCCCAAGAGCCATGCTCTCCGACTTTGGTACTTCTCGAGACATGATCAACAGTGGTCGCATACCCCGCTCAGGCAACACTGGAACGTAAGAACTACCGTTCTTTCTGGATCAATCACAATCTAATCGTGTTCACCAGTCTCGAATATGCCTCACCAGAATCGTTACCCTCCCCTGAGACTGGACTGCTGCAACAAATCGATTCCAAGTCTGATATGTGGAGTCTCGGGATGATCCTCCACAAGATGCTCTTCTTCAGACTTCCTTATCGTTATGCTTCGGAAAGTGATGCCAATGGTGAACCTACAAGTCTTGGCCAAGGCCACGAGTCAGAGAAGATGCAGAGACTGGAAGATGAGGTGCTCTCTTATCCTGGGTAAGCATTTGTCAGCTTTAGTTAACCAGCACATGCATTCTGATGCCTTTCTTAGTTTCAAAGCTGCCGCGAACGTGATCACGAGCTTTGAGGCTCGTCGCTTGCCTCGATCGTACCTTGTCCTACTGGAAAGTCTTCTCAGCCGATCGCCTCTAGGGCGAACGCCATGCGATCGCGTTGTACAAGCTGTTCGTGAAGGAAAGGTATGTTGTTCGTGCCTATCTCCTTGTAGCGTACGCTTACTATTGCTCTCAGCTTGACCCTCTACGCGAAGTCCCCAGACGACGTTCGCCTTCTAAAACTCCAGACGCCCTCATTCCTATCCCTCGTGCGCCATCAAGACCAACAGACGTAGGAATCGAAACGGACGGTCAGCGGACGCCTACATCTAACAGCGAGAGAGGCAGACTGCTAAGTCTTTCGCCATCCCCCACTTTCGAGCTCGCGGGCGACAAGGTCGCAGGCACTGCCAACCCCAACGAAGCCATGCACTTGGGAATGCCAGCACGCAATCGGGGTGGAGTTTGGCCGAGACTGAGTGAGGTTATGAGCAGTCGGAGGGGGAAGTTGGCAGCCAGGGTGATCAGGAGTTTCATCCTCGTTCTCAAGGTATGCAAAATGTCAGTTTTTCGAGGCTGTTGGCTGATTTTATGATAGGTTTCGACGATTCCGCGTTTCTGCCCAGATGTAAATTCACAACCTCGTCCGCTGCTGCTGGCCGCCTTGCTGGGAGCTGCGGTCGCCGATACGGCTCTTGATGTTGAACCTTGGGATCGTGGACTTTTACTTTCGGTGGCCCTGGCTATTCTTCATGTCAATCTGTTGCGGTTTGCAGCAGGGACGAGCTTGGCTTGTGCCGCCACATGACAAGTGTTCCTAGTTGCTTTGCACCGTTCTGGATGCCGTTTTCGTACTCTCGGCTTTAGGAGATATTGTTGGAACCGGAATTGGCCTATCTA